CCCTAAACCCTAAACCCTTCCTGAACAGCAACCCAGGGTCAGCTGGGCACATCGCGCCTCCTCAGACTCCAGAGATGCACGAAGCTGATCGTTCCTGGTGTTCGCCAATGTAAGCTCCTGTCAGAAACTTGACATTTGTGTGTAAGGAATGAAGGAATGAAAGAGAGTGTGGCAACTGCTATAGGGTTTAGGGTTTAGACCCTAAACCCTAGACCCTAAACCCTTTCGGGCTTAGGTTTCAGGGTTTAAGGTTCAGGGTAGGGAGTGAAGGATTGAAAGGACAATGGAGACTACTATAGACTTGGGGGCTCTACAGGGGCCAGCCGCAAGCAAAGCTCATTGAATAGGGCGACGCTCAAATAGACCCTAATAGACTATTCTCCCTGTTTTTGACCCTCAAAAAGGAATCCCTCTTTCAAAAACCCTGCCCTGAACCCTAAACCCTAAAGCCGAATCCGCGTCCGGTTCTCTCACTACATCTCACTACATACCCCTCGACACTGCAAGGGCCCCTACTTTGGAGTTTCTCAAAATAGTGAATCCGCATCCATAGGGTCCCTACAAACGCCCTCTTTTTGACAGGGTTCTCTATATCACCCAAAACAACATCGTTTCAGTGTCTTGCACACAACTTTTAACCCAAAAAAGTGATGTATCTAAAAAGCAAATATGGTAGTTTCCCTCATTAGGGGCACACGATATAGACCCCAAAAATGATTATCCTTATTATAGGGGCCCAAAACGAGGACCCCTAATTTCGGGAAACCCCCATATGGGGGAACCCACTTTTTAGAAACCACCTAGGGTTAAGGGTTTCAGGTTTAGGGTTAGGTCAGTCAGGCCTCATGTCGAGCTAGCAGAGCTATCTGCTGACAACGCTCCTTGCAGGGGTTCTTAGGGTTCATAGGAATTGTACGGGGTTCATTCCAGGAGTTTTGAGTATTGTTTCTGGCGTTCTGTTTTTAATGGCGTCTGCTTTGGGAACGGACACGCTCCACGATTTCTATATACCCTGTGCTTGAGGATTTAGGGTTTAGGGGTTCAGGGTTCACGGGGGACCCTTAATGGGGACTTCGGTAGCTTAGCCGGGGATCATATGGAGACTAGCTAGGTATACATAGGCTCGATATAAGCACTCTAGGATGGTTATATAGGGGACTGGGATGAGCTTCCAGGGGTCCCTCAACCTGAAACCCTAAACTCTCAAGCCCACATAAATACATCTACCATTACTTAGGGTTCGCAAAATTCCTTAATCTCAAAAGTTGACGTTTCCAAGCTCAAGAGGACCCCCCAAACCCTATAGTCCCCATTAGGTAGAATATGACTTCGGGTATCTTATCATAAGATCCCCATATACCCCATATCCTATGTACTTATGGGGGACTCTACCCTAAACCCCAAACCCTAAGCCCTAAACCTAAACCCTATATTCTATCTACTTAGGGGGGACTATAGTTAACGGCAATGAACCCTAAACCCTCCTGATTGCCCTCAAGGAAGCCCTGCGACTCCAAGTTGCTGAGCAGCCCGGACTCCTGGTTCCATGAGGCTGTTCCATGTTGAGATAGGGTTTAGGGTTTAGGGTTTGGTTTAGGGTTTAAAGCTTATAGGGTCCATGCTGAGATACTCTTAATCCCCTCCCCCTAATATGAACCCACCCCACGCCTCATACAGTAAATGCTCCCATTGTGGTATGCCATAATATATGGGGAATATCTTATATTGGTGGGGTGCGGGGCGTAAATGTTGGAGGAGAGAATTAAACATTGTGGTTTTTAATCGGGTCCTGCCCCCACCTATTAACAGACTGTAAGAGGAGTCATGTTAAGGGCTGTATATAGTTAATCTTATCCAACTGTTACTGGGTGGGGGAAGCAATCAAGAGATACCATTCAACATTGCGGGTTTACGTCTCAGGTTCCTGGCTACACTTGGTATAAGAAAAGATAACAAGAACAATAACAATGTAGTATTAATCATAACGACAAGCAAAGGATACTAACAATTCTAAAGCTGAAAAACTTCAACTTTGACCCAGACTCCTTGCGGAGGTCCTCTTCCAGAGCTTCCAGCTGCCTTGCAACGGCCCCATCACGTGCGATCAGCTCCGAAAGCGCCGAGTCCTGGGAAGAGATCGTATCCAGCTCCTGCTTCAACTGCGAAATCTTGACCTGCAAGGCTGTAATGTGATCATCCACAGGGATGTGCCTTGGTTTTCCCGGAACCGTATTACAAGCAAGGTACCCTTTTTTTGTAGGTTGGCTTTCAAAAGAGGCTCAGAATTCAAAACTGGCAAAAGGGTACCACAGGCTTCCTAAGTGCAGAATGTTAGAAGGAGTTGCACGTCTCAGCAGCTGTTCTGCCGAGCTCTGGTGTGCCAGGAGCAGGTCTGTTCCGTTCAAACCCCTCTCCTAGGTCTTCAGGAATTAGGTGCCTCCTTTTATGGGGTGTTCATAATGAGACTTCGTGCGGTGAGATCTATATTGGGGTCCCCTAATTGTGGCAACTACCAACTCTACGTTCCTCACTCGGCTTAAGTAGCTTGAGTACAAGAATGACGTCTCAAAATCAAGCCCCCAGTTCCTCGCAACAAGTATGATACGAGCCCCCAAAAGCCCCCACTATCTTAAGGAACAAAGCTAAAGTTCTGCTAGAGCTGGTCTCGTTTCCATGAGGATCGGCTTCTCGCGCCCCGCAAACTTTGGCACCTAGCATTACATGTCTAAACTCGGGTTTGGGCTCCTAGGGCTCTCAAGTTCTCGGGGTCTAGGTGCCCTCAAACCTCAAAACCAAAATCCAGAACTCCCAACGATTTCTGAGTAGTGCTGTGACAGGAGAATAGAATGCCATGTATCCCCATCTAAAACACCACTACACTGGGAATGCCTATACCCCTGCCCAGGATGCAATCGAGTAGCGATTTTTGTGGCTAAACCTAATAAGAATATATTCTGTGTATACATACTATACCCAAAAGGAGGCTAAACCCTAAACCCTAAACGCAGGACATGATCTTACTCTATATGGGTACCATCGTATTCCCAAATACAATACCTCTCATCTGACTGCCAGAGACTGCCTCCACAGAGTTGGGGGGGTTATAAAAAGGTTTAGGGCTTAGGGTTTAGGGTACTGAAGCCTGATACTCGCTGGTACCTCTTCGAAAAAAAAGGGTACTCGATTTCCACTGTCCCGTGAAACACGCGTTCGTATTCCTTTTCCTTTAAGTGGTAGTTTCCCAAAATACAGGGACTCCAATATAGTCCCCCAAATATTCTAGTCCTTACTATTGGGACTCCCAAAAGGGTACCCCTAACCTTGGAAAACCCCTTAACCCAAAACCCTATATATCCCTATATAACCCCTATATATCCCCCTTTAAACCCCTTTGAAAGGGTACCCCTAATTTTGGGAAACCCCTAAACCCTACTATATACCCCTATATAACCCCTATATATCCCCCTTTAAACCCCTTTTAAAACGGTACCCCTAATTTTGG